CCCCAAAACCCCAAAACCCCAAAACCCCGAATAAAGGATAGTAGAAAGGCTAAGGATAAAATAAATTTTAGCTATTTCTTAACTAAATTAAAGTAGCACAACTTTATCATAATTAATTCAAAATAGTCTGGGGAAGTAGACTATATACTCCTCATTGTCTCTTACTGGAAGTGAGACATAATATCTATACTTAAATTTCTCTTTTTTAATAATATCAGGGTCCCCATTCTTTCCATTCATCTGATCAACCAATAAATATTTCTCTTCATGATCTATAATCAATTCCTTTCTCTTTAGTTGGCAAACCTAAAACTCACCCATAGATCCACCAGCATTATAAATCAAAAGTTTATCAGAGAAAATATTTGGATATCTTTGCGGTGTCTCATCAAAGCACATTTCCTCAGTGAAAGCTAATTAATAAGAGCAATGTCCATGTTTGTAATCTCGTATTCCTAAAGCTTACTTCTCGATGAATAAATGCTGTGGGTCCTCCACATATTTCTAAATCTATGATGGAGGTATCTTAAACAATTAATTTCGGTACTCTTTCTCGTTAAATATATTAAGTACGAAGTATTGAAATAGTTGGACTTCCTTATTTATCATTTTTCTCTCATTTTTTATCAATTTAATTTCATTCAAAAGTAACTAGCACTCATCCTATTATTTTGCTACCAAAGAAAAAGTGAAAATCTTAACTTTGAGAGTAAGCTTGTCATCTGTAACGTGCTCATTGCAAGTATATTTCCCATTCTTAATCCATTTTGACAATTTTTGCAAATGTTTTACCTAAAAGTTAAAGATGTTTTCATATTCTGTTAAAGTATCAAGATCTTTAACTGATATATACATATTTTCTTCTATATATTCTGTGATTGTTACCAACTTCTTTTGCAACTACTTTTTTGCTTATTAATTTTGCATTTTCTCTAGATTTTTAAGATCTCTTTTCCTCAGAGAAGTTGATATCTGCTGTTACTCATTTTGCTAGATTATTTAAACTTCTTCAGTATCTGCTTTATCTTCCTAATTTTAGAATAATGCTTCATTCAATTTGAAGTTATCTGGATTTTCAAAAGTAGGTTATACTACCTGAGGAGGTGGTGTATTTTAACTTCTATTTAGATTGAGTAATGATTGATGATAGTCTTGACTTAAGTTTTGCTGCTAATTTTCCTATTTTTCTTCCTCTTATTTATTCTATAATACACTTTGTTTCACGTTCTCTTCAGTGGTTATTGGAGATCTACATGATCAGGATTTTAGATTCTTAAATCTTCTATTATGAGCTCATCAGTTGTGATATTAGTTTTTGAGTTTGACCCTACTTCTACATGCAAGGAACTTGGACCTGCTTCTTTTTTGCCATTCTAATTATTAACATGATTATTTAACTATTACTGGTCAAGGAACTTGTTTATTTTCAATTCTGCTGAAAAATCAATCTTCTAAGCAGGAAGATTGTTCTATGGAAACTCTTTCCTTTAATTGTGCTAAATATTAAACACTTAGGCCTAGTTAGCTTTTTAGTCTGAGTTTATATCAGTTTTCTAATCAGCTAAATCATCAAGTTTTCTTCTCTTACTATTTAAAGATTTCATTAGATGGTCATTCTGATTTCCTTCCTTACATCTCTTCTTTTATTCATGAGTTCCATTGAGTAACTCAACAAGCTCTTCCTAAGAATCCAATTGAGATTTATTCATCCCAATTGAAGAAGATTAGTTTGACTCAGATATAGTATTGATAAGTCCATTATTAATATTTAGAGGATCATCAACAACTACTACCTCCTCTAGTTATTCTTTATTATATTATTTTATTCTCTCCTCGTTAGTTAGTAATCTAAAATGCACTTAGTATCTTTAGGTAATGCTCATTTGAAATTTCTTGGGTGGTTTATTATTTAAATTAAGTTTGATATTGAATACTTTCTAATCAGCCACATATATTGATCAATGGGGTTTTGGGGTTTTGGGGTTTTGGGG